GTCCCCGGGCTCAGCAGGCACCTGCACTCAAGTACACGTGGGCCACACATAGAAATATATAGTTTAAGAAATGATAAAATCAAATCTTTAAAAATTTACTCAATAGAGCTGGAGAGGTTAACAGTGTTGTATCCTCTTCTAGAGTTTGTGAGTTCAATTCCCAGCAATCACCTGGTGGCTCACACCAATTTCTAAGGAGATCTGGTGCCCTCTTCTGGCCTGCAGGGATACATGTAGACAGGAAACTGTGCCCACAATAAACAAATAAATCTTTAAAACTATTTATTCCATATAGCTGGGTGTGGTGCACATCACTTTAATGCCAGCACTTGGGAGGCAAAGGAAACACATGTCTATGAGTTTTAGGCCAGTGAATCTGGTCAACAGAGTAAGTAACAGGACACTCAGGGATACATATGAAACCATGTCTCAAAAAGACATCTTTTGTTTTTGTTTTTATTTTTGTTTTACTCAGTTGTACTAGTCAAATTTCAATAGCTAATTCAGTCCCTGGTCATTGCAGTATTGCCCAGAGATCACCCATAATGACACCCGCATCAGAGAGGTTTTTTTTAATTTTTATTTTATTTTTAATATTGAAGAACCCCCTCACCCCCGTCCCCAGGCAACAGTTGGAAAATTTTAAGCTGTCCCATCCTCAGACATGAGCAGCTGCACTTAAAGATAAACAGCCTCCCCTAGTGGTCATCATGGACAGGAAAATATTTCCTAGGCCTCAGTCTTGAAGGACTTGGGAACATCCCCAGAACTCTAGGTTCCAGGCTGGTCGTAAAGTTCAGCCAGAGCACAGACTTTCCCTAAGACAGACAACGAGCCAGTCAGCCAGACAGCCACAAGCATGGGTGTTTTCATGAAGGTCTGGCACCGATTACCAAACTCCCCTTGTACCCCCACCACCCCATTTGTGGTTTCAGGCTTCAAAAACTCGCTGTAATTTCTGTGCCAGGTTCACTCCTTCCAAAGGCTGCTGAACCCCAGTGCACTGGCTTAATAAAAATCTTCTTGCCTTTTGCAACGAACTTTGTCTCCCTGGTGGTCTTTGGGGCAAGGGTCATGAGAGAAAGACTGAAGGGTCTTTCAGTATTGATCATCATTTTCTCAATATATGGTTTTATTTAAATTAGAAACATGCATGCTTTACATGTCAATCCCAACTCCCTCTGCCACCGATCCTCCCTTGTCCCTCCTAGAGCCCCACCTACCTCCCACCAAATCCCAACAACATTACCCAGGGAGGGTGAGGTACTCCATAGGGGGAACTCTACAGTCTGTCATTTCCTCCAGGACAGGATTAGGCCCTTCCCCATGTGTCCAGGCTGACAAACTATCCCTCCATGTGTAACGGGCTCCCAAATTTCCTTCCTACTCCACTGTAAATACTGATCTACTACCCAAGGCCCCAGAGATGGCCGAGACCTCCTCACTGACACTACATTTAGGGAGTCTTGATCAGTCCCCTGATGGCCTCACAGTCATCAGTCTGGGGTTCAAGAGCTCACCCTCGTCTGGCTAGCTGTCTTTGTGGGTTTCACCAGCATGGTCTTGACCCCTTTGCACATCACTCCTCCATTTCTGTCACTTGGTTACAGAAGTTCAGTTCAGTGTTTAGCTGTGAGTATCCTCCTGTGCTTCCATCAGTCACTGGAGGAAAGTTCTAGGATGGCATATAAGGTAGTCACCAATCTTATCATCAGGGAGGGGCTATTAAGGAAGTCTATCCACTATTGCTTAGATGCCAATTGGTATTATCCGTGGAGATCTCTGGAAATCTCTCTAGTATCAGTGTTCTTCTGAAGACTGTACATGGTGGCCAAGACCTTAATATAAGCACGCTGGAGGCATGCTTAGAGATAGATATGTAGATGAATTTATATATGTATGTATGGATGGATAGATGATAGATAGATAGATAGATAGATAGATAGATAGATAGCGTATGTTTGTGTTGTGGGTGTTAGCACTGAAGTGCATATGACGAAAGAAAGAGAGACAGAAAGAGGAATCCCTGTTTCAAAAAAAACCAAACAAAACAAAAGGGGTTTTAGAATATTCCAGTATTCTTCAATTGGGACATCTCCACTCTTCCTAGCTGTTTTCCACATTGCTTTTTAAAATACATGTTAGCTTTGTTGGATAGCACTGGTCATGAGAAGTGATGCAGGGCCCACACTATCATACCCACACTGGTGGATGTTCAGGGTAACAAGGGCATGACAGCCATGAACAACTGAGATCTGGGACAGAGGCAGGATGGGTGCTGAAGGCTATAAGTGATCCATGGGAAATGTCCCACACTGAAGCAGATCAGTAAGAAAGGAGAAAAAGTGAAAAATGTGGAGTGAAGGAAGTGGAACATAGGCAGTAGACCACCTGAACAAGGGTCTTAGGAGATCAACTGGAAAGAATGCCAATGACTATGGTACAGGAGGTCATTTTCTGTTTTGTTTTGTTTTTTTGAGACAAGATTTTTCTCTGTAGCTTTATCTGACTTTGATCTATAGACCTTGAACTCAGAGATCTGCCTGCCTCTATCTCCCAAGTGCTAGAATTAAAGGTGTGTACCACCACTGCCAAAGCAAGTACAGGAGGTCTCCAAAGCAAATCTGAGCCTAGGCAGGGTCCAGATAACTAGGGCACCTACAAAAACTCTAGGTAAGGAATTGTGTCTCAGTTTCTTGTGCCTTAACAAATAAAGCTTGCCTGAAGAACAAGTGCTGAGCCATAGAGGTGAGGCAGTGGTGGCACACACCTTTAATCCTAGGGCTCAAGGTTAAGAGATAGACAGATCTCTGTGAGTCCAAGTTCACCCAGGGATACACAAGATTGATTCACTCTCAAGGAGAAACAGCCAGGTGGCAGTTGCTCACACCTTAAATCCCAGTATTTGGGAGTCACACACCTTTAATCCCAGCACTAGGGAGGTGGAGACAGGGGGGATTTGGGTGGGTGGAGAGAGGAATATAAGGAGGAGACAAGAGCTCATGGCCTTCAGTCTGAGGATTCCTAGCGACACGATCGAACATTTTGTCTGAGGATTCAGTAGAGGTAAAAAATTATGGTGGGTTCTCTGATATTTCAGTATTAAATCCTATATCCAACTTCGAGTTTTTATTATTAAAACCAATTAGAATTTGTGCTTCCTCAGTAGAATTCTAAAGGGACTGAATGTTTGGTACCATGTTAAAAATAATAGTGGGGTCTCATGTTGGTTTTATATACTTTGGAGTTGTTTTATAGTAAATGAGAAGCGTTTTTTTTTTTTTTTGGTTTGTTTTGTTTTGTTTTGGTTTGGTTTTTTTGAGATGGGTTTCTTAATGAAACAGTCTTGGCTGTCCTGGAATTCACTCTGCAGACCACGGTTACCTTGATGTCATAGTGATCAACTTGCCTTTGCTTCCCAAGTGCTGGGATTAAAGACTTGTTCCAACACTGTCATGTTAAATAAATACAATGTTTAAGATGTTCATTAAAGTCACTTTCTAGCCACTATATTGAGGCATTACTTTGCTGATCTCTAAGTACAGAGACTATTAGTGTAATAGTGCAGAATCCCAGACCTGAAGATACGGAGCTCATGGGCCTTCATGAAAGCCATTACTATTTTTAAGACTGGTAACAGGGCTGACTCTCCTCTCAGAGAGAAAATCACAGATTCCTCTGACCAGAAGTGAAAATAAAGACTTACTAGGCAGACTTACTCATGTTTTTATGGTTTGCCAATTAAGAAACAAATGTCAAAATCCAGATATTGGAATCTGAAGACAGGTAACATCAGGCATAAATGACTGAAAAGAATAGGTGCTAGGGATTCTAAAAGGATTAGGTGCCTGTGAGTAAACAGCCAAATGATTTCCTCCTTCACAGAAGATTTTCCAAAATCTGAGCTAACATAAATGCTATATTATGTAGGAGGAAATCTAGGCATGGAGGGGCTCTGGGAATGGAATGTACTGTTTTGTACCCCATGCTTTTCTGTTTGTCTCTAGATAACTCTAAGGAAGATGTGATCTCAGTCACTGTGTGTGGAAGTATGAGAGATGCTTCATATTCTCTCTGATTCCATGTTGTTAGTGTTCTTGTTTTGGCTGTTTTCAGGACCTAACCAGTGTGGATCTGAGCAGAAACAGCTCAGTGTCCCCTAGGAGACAAGTGTGTCTTTGATATTAGAAGAAGGCTGGTCATCCGGGCGTTGGTGGCACACGCCTTTAATCCTAGCACTCGGGAGGCAGAGGCATGGGGATCTCTGAAAGTTCAAGGCCGGGTTGGACCTAGAGCTTCCAAAACAATACAGAGAAACACTGTCTCATAAAACCAAAAAAACAAAAAACAAAAAACAAAAAACTTCAAAGAAGAAGGCTGGTCTTTGCTTAGAGGTCTACGAATAGAACATGCTCATGTTTCTGTCTTCAGTTTTCTCTGTTTACTGCCTTATTTATGTCATGACCAGAAGTGAGATTGATGACTATATGTGGGGAAGAGACAGAGTAAGAAGACAGTGTTTGGGAGGCCATGGGTCCCAGGCAGAGAGGCCTGTGTGATTCATAGTCAGAATGAAGAATTGCCCCATACAGTGTGTTGAGAGCCACAGCCAACCAGAGTGTCTTCTCATTGTCCTTCAGGTCAACACCATGATGCATGCTCAAGTCTTCATTTCAGGCCTCATATTATTTCTCCTAGGTAAGTTATTCAATGAACTGGGGAATGCTCAAGAGTCTAAAGTAGGTAGAATTAATGACAATCTTTAAGACTTTTTGGTTATAGGTTATATAGTGAGCAGAGAATCAGGATAAATTGAAGCTCCAAAATGTTCTTGTTCCTGAATGAATACAAATATATGGATGAATAAACATGATTCCAAAAACATGACAGGGAAGAGTACAACCCCTTAAGATTTTTTAAAAAGATATAAAAACAATATTTTAGAAAAATATTGAGTAATAATTCTCCACTTTTCCACCTCCCCCCATTTTATATCACAGGTTTCGTGGATTCTGCTGTAGTTGTGAAGGCAGTGGTGGGAGACCCTGTCACACTGCCATGTAATTACTCAACAAATCTCGGGGTCAGTAACACTTGCTGGGGCCTTGGCGAATGTCAATTTTATTATTGTGCAAGAACACTTATATGGACCAATGGATATGGAGTCACCTATCAGAGGAACAGAAGATACCAGCTACAGGGGTCTATTTCAGAAGGAAACGTGTCCTTGACAATACAGAATGCTGATCAGAGTGACAGTGGTCACTATTGTTGTACAGTTGAAATTCCTGGGTCTTTCAGTTATGTGAACTATTTGCTGGAAGTTAAACCAGGTAAGCGTTCTTTCTTTCCTTTGGTATTTCTTGCAAGTGAACTGAGTCCTCTGTTTGCTAATATTTTCTGAATTCCTCTAAGAAGGAAACTGAATGTTGTTATAAATATGTTTGAGTATAGGTGGAGAGTTCCACTCCCTGTCTTTCCTGACTTGTGCTTTTGGAATAGGACTCACATCATGTCACACAGTTTGTTGCTTGAACAATGGAAATATTCTGATAGAATTGTGTTCCCTCCACTTCCTGTTCACTTGTCACTCTGCATCATGATCACATGAGCAGTGGTTAGTCCATAGTCAGTCTGCAGTGTGGTCACATGAGCAGCTAGTCCATTGTCACTCTGAAGTGTGGTTACAAGAGCAGTGGTTAGTCCATAATCACTGTGCAGTGTGATTTCATGATCACCAGTAGTTGGTCCATGAATGATGCTAACATACAGTTCCCTCCAATGAACTTTTTGAGAATGAGAAGGCAGAGATCAGACCTCCAGGTGGGAGGGAGAGCTTTAGCAAGAAACAATACAATCTATGAGGCTCATCCCTTGATGGGTAAGAAGAGGATAACAGGGACGGGGAGTCTATTCTTATAACCTGGACAGGAGATTCATTAATAGCAGGAATGGGGGAGGAGTAGAGAAAGCAATGGCAGGGCAGACAGAGAACTGTCTTCAGTGACTGGCCTGAACAATAATCTTCTCAGCATTGTTCTGATTCTACATGAGAGAGACCTTGATGGCTTGTTTCCAGACCATGATGGGAGAGATGTGGATGAGCCGTGCGCACACTGCTGGTGTGGAGAGTTTTATTGGGGGAAGGGAATGGGAAAGAGGTGAGGAGAAGGAAAGAGGGGATGGGGAAAGGGAGTGCGGGGCAGCATTGTGGGAAGAGGCAGGAGAGAGAGAAAGAGGGGGGAGAGGAAGGCACTGAGAGCCAGAGAGACATGGAAGGGAGAGAAGAAGAGGGAGACAGGGAGAGCAGCTGAGGTGAATGTACACAGATCACACAGCAAGACAGGTTACTGCCTCTGTGCTGGGCAGGCATCTGTGTGGATGCTAACATTCCTTCTATTTTGGGTTATTAAAAAAAGGTGAGGAGTTAGTTATGGCAGGATAGGGCAATGAAGGTGTCTAGGTATCCAGACTACTTCCTGCTGATCTGGGAATATTGGAATTTTGGGAACCTGAGAACTGAGGAGCAGGCCACATCCTGGAGTAGCAGGTTGCCTCAACATTATCCAGGTTCTATAGAACTGTCCAGTGTCTCTTAGGCCTGGTGATGTGCCAGCCCAGCAATTTCAAGGTTAAGTTTAAGGAGTTAGTTCTTGTGAGTGAGGGAAGTGTGTGTCAAGACAAGGGGAAAGGTGGGAGGACTTAGCTGCTTGGGTACTGGTAAATGAGGTATAGGTGCATCTCACCTTTTTGAGGTGAATCCAAGTTGACATCCTGGAACCTACCAGAATTCCTTAAGTTTGTGAATAGTTAAGATTTAGAGATGGTTTTAGACATCCTAGTGATCACATTATTTTTAACCTGTAATGAGATTCACACTGAAGAAATGACAGGAAGCTCATGCCAGTCATGATTCTGGTTGAGAGCATTGACATTCTTTCTTGTGTCTGGAAACCTGAGAGATGTTTTTATCACAGTGAAAACAATAACCTTTAAGTGTATTGGTAGAGTGAATTTAGAATCCTGGTTTTATAGCCAACATCATATAGTGATAATTTGCTGTTTAGTACTCTGCCAGAGCTGGGTCAAAAGATATCTGAATGTTATCCATGATTGTTAAGACTATTGAATTTCAGAATCTTAATATAACAGTAGCATAATGAGAGAGAAATATCTGGGAACATGTTTCATCATCATTTAAGGCTTTTTGAAAGCCTCTGACAACAAAATTATCATTTACTCACCTTAAGTCACTTTCCCATACCATGAAACATTCTTAGATTGTCACCCTTTAAGTTTCACAGCTTAAAATACAGGTGGCTGACCACTGAGAGCAGTCACTGCAAAGCAGGGCTTTTAAACAAAGAAATGGTAACAGTTACAACAAATGTTTTGTGAGTTTTCTTTTGAGGTGGTATCAAGGTGAACTGTGTCTAGACTTGGTATTGGCTCTAGGAGAGTGAGGCCTGTGACCTGAATTTTACAGGGAACTGAGAAGTGAGCTGATGCTTTGGTTGTTGTTGTTAAGCTGACCTGAAGTGGTACTTTCATTTATTCAAAGCTTGCCTGAGGATTCAGAACAGCAAGATAGGTTTCAAGCTTTGAAAGCAGGCATTGGTGATAAACACATTTAATCCCAGCATCCTGAAGCTAGGAGATGGTAGTACACTCCTTAAATCTAGGACTCAGAATTAAGAGATAGAGGCATCTCTTTGATTCCAAGGCCACCTAGAGATATACGAGATTGAATCAGTCTAAAAGAGTAACAGATCACACTCCATGAGTCCCAGCACTAGTAGGGTATAAAAGAGGGAAGCAGGGTCTTCAGTAGTCAGTATGAATCATTCAGTCTCCAGCCACCCTGAGGAGAGGCAGTCGTGTGAAGCTTGGTGAAGGGAAGGCACAGGGTTCAGCCATTCAATCTGAGGTAGAGGTAAAAAGGCAATGGCCAACTGTTTTGGTTTTCTGATACTCAGCTTGAAGTTTGAACCCCAGTATCAGTGTCTGGGTCTTTTATTTATTTATTTTTTGTTACACTGGCCAAACTACTAGTCAGTCAAACAGCTTCAGTGTTCTGAGAAGGATAAACTTTACCTGAGTTATTGAATAAAAAGGGCAGACATTTACTGGCTGCCTACCCCGGGGCCCTCCCCGGTCACATTGCTTAGGCAAATTGAGGCTATGAATTCACCAGTGTCCTGTTTTGTTCAGGGTCTGAAGAGGGTCTTTACAGCAGTTGAGGTGAAAGGCAGGTTGGCTCCGTGGCTGGTGCTGCCACTTTTGAAGCCAGTTCTGGGTGGAGGTTCTTCTGTGCCCATCCATCTTCTTTGAGGAAATAGGGGTGCTTCAAGGGCCTGGCATTTCTCTCTATTACAAAAAGCTTTTTAAGTAAACATTTTAGATGCCATATTTTGCAGATCTCTGAGCATTTGAGGACTGTCTGTCTATTAGGTATATCTCAGTAGACATTTCATTTCTAGTTATTTGATTTAAGCTTGACTCTGAAAACTTATAGGGGACTAGGTCAGGCTTATACCTGTAGTTAATTACACCAGTATCATCTAGCATGACCACAATTAAAGAGCTTGATCATTTATAAGATGACTCTGGTATTCCTCAACAGTCTACAATTGGTTAGCAGCTTCCATAATACTAGGACTTCACATTCCTGTCAGGTTAAGCTCTAAAAATAATGATTTTTGAATTGAAGCACTTTTAGTATTAAAATAAGAAACAAAAGATGGCCATTCATAGGATAGTAACAGAATAAGCTTGTACAATCTAAGACTGTCACCTGATAAGGCAAGGAAAAGTGATAAGGGAAAGATGCCAGGACAAATTGTGAAAAGGAGAAAGGGGGCTTGTGAGTTGGGCTGTGTCCCATAAGCAGGGATTAAGAGAGCACAGAGGCCAGCACTGCCCTTGACAGGTCATTTGGGCCTCTGCCCCAATACCCAACTCAGTATATCTTATTTAACAAACATATGTTGCCACTTATTTAATTCTTGTTGTTGAACATTTGGTAAAGACATAAATACATAAATGTAAATCTCTAAGTTGCCTTTGTTGATCTGAATAGTTTTTTTTTTGGTTCTTTGAGACAGGGTTTCTCTGTCTAGTAGTGACTACCCTGGGAGTCACTCAGCTCACCAAGCAGGCCTAGAACTCAGAGATCCACCTGCAAGTGCCTCCCAAGTGCTAGGATTAAAGGCATGTGCCACCACCACCTGGCCTGAATAGATCTTAATAATTTGAAATTTTTAGTACCATATAGAGTACATTTTATTTTATTTTATTTTATTTTATTTTTTGACATATGGTTTTTCTGTGGCTTTGGAAGCTGCCCTGAGAATAGCTCTTGCAGACCAGACTGCTCTCAATCTCACAGAGATCTGCCTGCCTCTTGTTCCTGAGTGCCTGGGTTAAAGGCATGTGCCACCACCTCCAGGCTATAGAATACATTTTAAAGCAGAGCTGAATCACATATATAGTATGTTGTAAGAAATCTAACCATGTATTTTAATGTCATACAATATTTCATACCAATCCAAAATATTTGAGACTTGCTGCTTTCTTAATCTAGGAGACACAATGGCAGGAGAGCTCATTAGAACGTAAAAATTAAAGGGAAAAGCAGTGGACACTGAGCAAGATGAAAACCTGAAATATTGACATATTACATTTTCTTTCTTCTTTCCTTCCTTCCTTGATTCCTTCTTCCCTCCCTAATTCTATCCTTCCTTTCTTACTTCTTTCCTTTCTGTTTTGTTTTTTCATTAAAGCCAGGGTTTCTCGTTGTATCTTTGTCTTTCCTGGAACTTGCTCTGTAGAAAAGCCTGCCCTGGAATTCAGAGAACCACCTACCTCTGTCTCCAGAGTGCTGGAATTAAAGAAGTGTTCCACCACCACAAGGCTTTACATTCTCCTTATTGATAAAAGGGTATCTTTGCATTGACTAAAGGAGTAGACTCATGAAAATTGCCTGTCTTCTGCTGCTGCTCCTAATCCTTTCACTAAAGGATACACATGGACAACAAAGATCAATAATGGAAATAATCTGTCTATTCTTTTAAATTAAGAATTTTTTCTGTAGCCTTTCAGCTCTAGACTTGGTTATTCATCCATTCACTCATTCACTTTTATGTTTAAATTGGTTTTAAAACCTGCATTAATATTCTGTGGCTATAAGTGGATGATATGTATGAGTTGGGTATACACACCAGGATGAATTTTTCAGAGGGCAAACTTGTGGGGTTGAAACTCTCTTTATATATATTTAAGTGAGATCTATGAATGTTAGTCAACTGTCCAGTTATCCAAGTCAAGTGGCTCTACCCATTGAACCATTATTCTGTCTCCCAGTTTATTAATTGATTTATTGATTTTGAGACTTGGCCTTCTCTTGTAAATCAGGCTGACCTGGAACACACACACACACACATACACACACACACACACACACACACACACACACACACACACACACAGAGAGAGAGAGAGAGAGAGAGAGAGAGAGAGAGAGAGAGGGAGGGAGAGGGAGAGAGAGAGGGAGGTAACTAAAAAAAATACCTCTTAGGGGTTGTGAGTTTTCTAGAATGCCTGAAGCCTTGGCTTCTGTCCTTAGAACTGCAAACACACTAATCAAGTAAAGCCTGTGGTGTAGCTTGGGAAGGCACTTGTCTAGCACATATTCTTGCCTAAAACACTGGGGTTAGATTTCCAGAACTAGCATAAGGATAGGCATGGCATCATAGCATAAAATACCCAATTTCAATTCATTAATTGAAGTTTTTATGAGGCTCAAAAATTCATTAACAGCTCAATGCTTACAGATGCCATAAGTGATCCAGCAACTCTGATTCCTCCTTAACAACAAGGTAGACACACACTGCATGAAGTCTTACACTGTACCCCACATAAGGAATGGTTAAAGCTATTTTCCTTATTCTTGAGCTATTATTTTGTAGTTAGCAGAGGTAAAATTGAGTGAGATAACTTGCATGGGTAATGTTTGCTGACACTGAGAGTATGAGTCCTGGCACTAATTTGCCTTAGGACCTGTCTAGGAACGTAGCATACTAAGACTATCGGTACCCATTTGGATGATTGGAGTCCTTAGGATGCTGTTGATTTGTGAACTGTAGATTGAACCTTCCTGAATCAAAAATCCTAACTTTTAAGAGATTAAAAATCTAGAACCTTTTAAGCATGTCCTTGGTAAAACACCAGGAAAAATTCAACGCCATGAAATTTTTATGTGCAGGATTATCAAAGATTTATAAAGTTTCCATTAACATATATACTTAAATTGCAGGCATATGAATGATACATAAACCATGTTTGTAGTTGAGGATCTTTTATAAGACAAAATCTATATGCAAATATTTTGAATTGTTAAAAGGATTTAAATTCTGATACCAAGCAATTTTGTATATGGGGTATTAACATTCTCTGTCTTATAGAGGAAGACAATGTCCATTCTCTACCCAAATGCTCAAATCCCATTTGTGCTGGGGCTGGTGTGGGATCTGCATGCTAAGATGCAGGGCTATATGGTGTGGCTGCTTGGGACTGACTGTAGTGCAAATGCAGGGAATAAAAACTTTGGGTTAAGTCAGTAGCCAGTGAGAGCATTCACAGGTTCCCACAGGCTCCAGTGTCACAGATGCTTAGAGATCTGAGGACCTGACAGCTGTCATTTATACTGTCCTTAAGAACGTGGACTCTGTTCTCATCTCCATGTCTTCAGTTCAGCTGCCTCTTATTGGTCAGCTGTCCCCACAGCCCTGCCCTGCCCTGTAGTAGTTGCTCAGTGACAAATTAGAGAAGTTTAGGAGAGGAGCCTCTCTGGGGGACAGCTTCTCAATGATGCTAAAACAGAAGCTCTTGCCCCTTCTTATTGACTCATCCTTGTTTCATCTTGATTTCCAAATACAGAAATTCCAACAAGTCCTTCAACAAGTCCCACAACTACAAGAAGAATCACAACAACAGGAAGACTCACAACAACAGGAAGACCAGCAACAGGAAAACCCACAACAAGAATACTCAAAACAAGAATACTCACAGCTACAAAAAGGCCCACAATTACAATGGAACCCAGGAATGTGTCAATGAAACCCACAGATGAACCAGCATCAGGCAGAGTCTCTTCCTTGAATGCTACAACACCAGTACATGCACAAACTTATACACCAGGTAAATCCCAATACAGTTCAACACGCAGTGCCCTCTTATCACTAGCCAGCATGCTTCATGCTTTATGATACAGAGTTCAATTGTCAGACAATTATGTCCTATATAGCTGTTATCTGTTCCTATTTTATAGGTACAGGAACTGACAGAGTCTGAAAGTTCATGGTAGAGTTGTGAAGACAGAAATTGGCTAAGTCTCTGTCCCTATTACCTTGAGTAGGAACCTGGTTCTTCTGACTTTAGGGTCAGAACATCTGCCCTGAGCATGATGTGGAGAGGGTTTCTACTGTTCCCACATCCTCACTGGAAAGGCATCATGACACCACCCTTTAAAAAGATAGTGAATGCTTATAAAGGTTTACTTTAAGGATCTTTTAGCTTATTCAGGTAGTCTGCAAAGTGCAATATATATATGTGTGTGTGCATATATATATATATATATATATACTTTGTAGGGATAAAATACACACACACACATACACATCAAATACAGAGGCTTTAGGAAGTGATATAACATGCTCATGCTTTTGAGTGATGCCTTGTAATTGATACATCAAATTGTCTACTGGTAAAGTTTACATTAATGGGTAGTACCTTGACTTACAGATCAGAGAAGCATGCCACCACGAAGGCAAGTTTAGATTCAAACCTTTCACAACTAGGAATGAAAAGACAGCTATTACAGTGTGTCTCAAAGCTTCCTAAAACTTGTATCCTGTGGGTAGGGCTTGGTTCTGATGACAGAAACCTCATAACTTTTGTTGTTATGGTTAGGGTAATCTGATGGGTGATACTTATTTATTTTGCCTCACCATGGCTTTTTGGTAATTCAAGCAGGAAGACCCTGAAAGACTGTGCTCCATGCCGAGTTTGCAGAGGCCTCTAGGTTATAACTAGGGTTGTCAAGAATACAATTTGGGAGAAAAACAAATACTTTGTTTCAGGTAGCCGCACATTCAGAAGAAATGCAAGACTCTCTCAGGATTTACAGAATTTTTCAGTACTTAGTTTCAGCCTGTTTCAGGGAATTGGCTCATGGACTGAGGACCTGAAGTATTTCCCCTCATTGCATGGTCACTGTGTGTACTTTACCAGCTTAGATGTCTGTCATTTGCTAAAATTAGAAACATGGAGTCATGTGATGGCTGCTTCATCTGCAAACTGCAGTGAATGGCTCCTTGTCAGGATGTCACAACCCTTACATCAGCGGAAATGGGATTCTCTGTTTCATACATAGACAACAGAACATAAAAACAATATATTCCTTGATATATAATGGGCATTTCAAATATACTTTGATTATCTAAATGTTCAAAACTTGCTGTTTAGTAAATCTCCTGCCTTATTAAATCCCACCCTAACATGGTATGACACTTCGTCTCTGTTGGTGACTATTATAGATGTAGAAAAAAAATCTAAATTTGTATGTTTATAATTTTTCCTCTTGTTGAGCAGATTGGAAAAACACTGTGACATTCTGGAACGACTCTTGGAATAATTACACTGTAAGTATATTCCTCCCCAATCAGCCATGCTGTCTTGTATATCTTCTATGAAACAATGTGTAGCTAAAGATGTCTGTAAAATTAGTTCAAGGTACTTGCTTAAAAAAGAGTCAGATATAGTAGTATCCTCCTTATTCTCAGGACTCAGGAAGTTGATACAAAATATCAGAAGTGTGAGGCCAGCCTGGACCATTAGGCAATGTAGACTATACAGTTACACCCTGTCTCAATAAATGTACATAAGTAAATTCGTAAATATTTAAAAATAAAGAAATAAGAATTTGACTTTGGGGCTGGAGAGATGGCTCAGAGAGGCTCCTCCAGAGGTCATGAGTTCAATCCCCAAAAACCACATGTTGATTCCCAACCATCTAAAATAAGATCTGGTACACTCTTCTGGTGTGCAGATAAACATACAGGTGGAACACTATATGTACTGAATAAATTAAATCTTTTTTCAAAAAGGGTATTTGATGTTTACAAAAGATATTTGAATTCAAGATACGCATTAACGTTCCCACTGACCATTCTCTGTAGAGTACATGGTGATATTTTGTTTCACACACAAACCAGCACAGAATGTGATTAAATCAGGCAAAAATCACATACATGATGTATGAGCCCATATTAAGAATGTGATTACAGTTTTGACAGAGGTATCTGCCCATGCAGTCACCTCAATTAACACAGAACAGGTTTCCACCATGGTCAAAGACACTGATTTCCATTGTGTTAGAGTTCCACTGCCTATACCACTTCAGATTCTTGCATCTTACTGCACATTTCACTAGCGATAGGCCAGTAAAGATGAAGCTCTAGGACCTGGAGTCTAGGTTAATTTCAAGCATGTGCATTCTATTTCGTTCCCTCGGTGACTCTTGTGTTTACTGCTGCTCATTTATTCCTACTCCTGTTTTACTGTTTCCCTAGGAATCAATCCCTTCACTAAATCCACCAGAGAAAATGACTAAGGACTTTGCGCTTGTCATCCCCATTGCCACCCTGTTGCTGCTGCTGTTTGTGGGTGCCCTGGCTGTCATGAGTAAGTAATTTCTCATAACTGTCCGCCAAACAATGAGACCCAGTGATCTCTGACTGCCTTTAAGCAAGTGCACATTCCTCAGGGGCTTTGAGTTCACCTGCCTTCCCTATCTCCAGATCCAAGACATACATGTAAGCCATCTGATTCTCACGAGATATGTTAGGACCCACACGACTCTGTGGCTGGTTTCTATTATTTGATGAGTGTTGTGCTCAGTGATCTTACACCATTGCTACTATGTCTGCAAATATTCCTAATCTGTAAAACTCAAGGAGCTTAAATACTACTGGAGTTTTCAGCTGAAACCATTTATTTATTCATTTATTTATGTATTTATTTATTTATTCATTTTACATCCTGACCCTGCCTCTAGTTTCCCTTCCCACATTTCCCCCATTCATTCTCCCTGCTGCCCATCTTACAATCCCACTTTCAGTCCAATATACACTTCCTCTGTTTCTGTTCAGAATGCCAGGTTTCCTATGGATATCAACTAACCACAGCATAGCATGCAGTGGGTTATTACCATTTTCTGTTTTATTTTTTGTGCCTTCATTTTGCTTTGTTTTTAGTTTGGGTTTCAGATTTTTGCTCTGTGATCATGTAGTCTGGGATGGCATTGCCCTTACTAAGTAGCTGAGGATGACCTTCCTCAGTATCCTACTGTCTTCAACATCCAAGTGATGGGCTCACATGAATAGGCTGCTGTGCTTGGCAATACTGGTTTCCTACCCTGTCCTTTGTAGTTCAGCTGTTTCCATTAAAGGGGAAACATTCCATTTTCCATAAAAAATTTAAATACTATGACACAAGAGATTTGTTAATAGGCTTGACATTTTCAGGTCACTTTAGACTTCTGATGTGTTCTCTCCTACACTTGGGGTCTCACTTGTTCCCCAATATCATACTGTGGAATATTCTGGCATGTATTTAGTAGAAGATACAAACAAGATGTTTGAGGGAAACCCCCAGAAAAATGCTGGAACAGACTATTTGTGGGTGATGCCCAGTTCTACATTGTCCTTCCCATGAATTGTACAACTGTACACAGGGTTTTTCTGTGTGTAGTGCATTCCCTGTGTAAGAACTTCAGTCATGGACTTTATAAAACATAGGCATGAGCCACTTACTGACCTGTTTCATTTACTGGGCATAAAATGGGGAATAATGATATGTCTGTCTCTTGTCTCTGATTACACAAGGCTTTAGTCCCAGCACTTGGGAGACTGAAACAGGAGGATCTCTGAGTTGGAGGTCAATCTTTCCTACATTGGAAATTCCAGGCAAGCCAAAGCTAACCATAGAAATCCTATCTTGAAACACTTAAAAAAATCAAGACTATTCCTGTGTAACTTCATGATGTTTCTTACTTGCTATTTAGAACTTGTGTATCTGAAAAGATTATTTAAGCTGTCTCTAGTGTCATGTGCCTATTATCGCAACATTCCAAGTCGGCGGTTAGTTTGGGTACATATTAGATGCTGTCTTAAATGGAGAATTATTAAAAAGGTGACCATTTGTTCATTCAACATCTCTCTCTCTCTCCCTCTCTCCCTCTCTCTCTCTGCAGGTTGGTATCAGTGGGAGAACATTGTTGAAGACAGTGTCTACATAGTTGACTATAATCCTTTCTCTATAGCATGAGTACCAGTGGCCCTCTGAGGGAAATTCCACCTTAGACTGAAAAGACACCGTCGGGACTGAACAGCACAGACAACCATTACAAGTCCAGAATTATTTTCTGTGTCTACTCATCCAGCAGTAGTGGAAAGGGTGACCTCTAGTATCATCCTATTTCTTACATTATCACGGACTCATTCTCTCCATTCACTGCAGCGCATTCCCTCAAAATGAATATTTTAGAATTCTGTGTGTCCTTTATGGAAATAAATACATTTTTGACACTGTAAATAGACTCCTGCCTTGGTCATTCAAACCATTAAGAGAAGAATAGGATTGAAAAATCAAAAAAAGACTGAGGGTGGGTCGGATGGGCTCCATAATTTAGAAGTATTTCTGAAACTTTTCATGTTTATCTATTTTAGTGTAATTTGAAATATCACTATCCCTTCCCTCCCCAAGGGGTACAACCATGGAAGCAAGCAGGTTGTAGTTTCCCTCATAGATAAATACAAGGGAGTCTAGTGTCACTATAAGAATTGGCCATGCTTTCTCATAGCTCTGGAAATATGACACATTATTATGTGGTTAATCTTAGAATAAGCATGGGCATTTCAATCAGGAGTGGTTTCCATGGTGAATATGGCACGGGCCTATACTGGGGAAGAAAATAGTGTGGACCAAGTGTTTGAGGTCCTTAATGCTATTTCCCCTGCAGTCTGACTTGATGCTCAGTGTTCCTATACTCACCTGCTGGACTCTGAATTAGGTGCTAGAAGGAGACAATGCAGAAATGAAGGGGAAAGGAGGGAGCAGGACACAGGCTCTGCCTGAGAGAAGTCCTAGTCCAGGTGTGACAAAGTAGGAAATATCACTGGTTCATTCAGAGTCTAAATGTATAATTGTCTTCAGATCATATTGATATTTACATTTATTTCAGAAGGACAAAGCATTTTCATAGTGGATCAGTGTGTCACACTCAATGAAATATTGGTTTTGCTAAGACTTAAGAAAGGCTGCTGTGTTGGTATCTTCATTGTCAGCCCAGTTGTTGAGAAGAACAGAGTTGTAAGAGGATAATACTTTCTATTTCAGTTTGAGTAATCTCTGACTCCAGTAAGCATCTCTCAGCCCGTAGCAGAATGTAATGCTGGATCCCAGTCTACATTCCACTGCTGTTCGACAGAGCTCAAGGAAATAAGTATGTGTCTCATTGGGGGTTTCTTGGGAAGTCATATAGTAGGATGTTGCATTCTGGGTTTGCCAAATTGGGATTCCCTTTTATGCTCTAAAAATGATTTTTTTAACTACAGTGTTTTCTCTTTCTTTTTTCCTTATTTTTTATTTAGCTTTTTAGGCATGTCACTTTCAGTTCCCTCTCCCTCCCCTCTCCTCCCACCCTCCAGTCCTCCTAACACCTCACCCCAACTCCATCCCCCCTCCCCTCCCCAGGGAGGGCAAGGGCCTCCATGAGGGATTTCCACAGTCTGTCACATCATCTCAGGAATGGCACCGGTTCTTTCCCATGTGTCCAGACTGAGAGAGCATCCCTCCATGTGGCATAGGCTCCCAGAGTCCCTCTGTTTGCCAGGAATAAATACTGCTCCACTCTCCAAGGTCCCACAGATTGCCAAGACCTCCTTTCTGTCACCCAGGTTCGGTGGGAGGATGTTTGGATCAGTCCCATGCTGCCCCCCCAATCATCAGTCTGGGATCCATGTGATGCCCCTTGTTTTGGTCAGCTGCTCCTGGGGGCCACGCCAGACCGATCACGATTCTCTTTGTCATCACTCCTCTTTGCAAATGGATTCCAGGAGTTCAATTCGGTTCACAGCTGTGGGTGTCTGCCTCTGTCTCCGTCAGCCACTGGATGAGAGTTCTAGGATGGCATATAAGGCAGTCATCATTCTCACCATTATGGGAGGGCATTTGAGGTAGCCTTAACGCCTGTTGGTGTCATTCCTGTAGATCTGTGAAGATCTCACTAGAGCCAGTTCTCTCCTCCAACTTATAATGGCTCCCTCTTTTATGGTATCTTCCATCTCCTCTATTCTTACCCTGGCTCAACCTTCCTGCTCTCCCGTGTCGTTCTCTCCCTCTCTTTCTCCCATCTCCTTCTGCCCTCCCCTTCTACTCCTCTCCAATCTAATAAGGAGATCACATCCCATAACCCTTCTCTGGGTTATCGTGCATATCTATCTTAGTGTCCTCCCTCCACCCCAGACTTGCTGGCGGTGGGATTATAGGCTGGCAGTGCCCTCCTCCATGTCTAAAATCCATATATGAGTGAGGACATACAATGTTTGTCTTTTTGTGACTGGGTTACCTCACTCAGAATGTTTTCTTCTAGTCCCACTCATTTGACTGCAAATTTCAAGATTCCATTTTTTGTCTGCTGAGTAGTACTCCATTGTGTAAATGTACTACATGTTCTCTATTCACTCTTCAGTTGAAGGGCATCTAGGTTCTTTCCAAGTTCTGGCTATAACAAATTATGCTGCTATTAACATAGTGGAACAGATGTCATTGTTGTATGAGGGTACATCTTTTGGGTATATGCCTAAGAGTGGAATTACTGTATCTCGTGGTAGACTGATTTCCATTTTTCTGAGGAATCTCCAAACTGATCTCCAAAGTGGCTGCACGAGTTGACATTCCCACCAGCAGTGGAGGTGTGTACCCCTTTCTCCACATCCTCTCCAGCATAAACTGTCATTAGTGTTTTTGGTTTTTGCATTTCTGACAGGAGTGAGATGATATTTCAGAGTTGTTTTGATTTGCATTTCCCTAATGGCTAAAGATGTTGAGCACTTTCTCAAGTGTCTCTTGGCCATTTTGGACTCCTCTATTAAGAATTCTCTATTTAGTTCTATACCCCATTTTTAAATTGGATCCTTTGGTGTTGTGGAGACTTGCTTCTTGAATTCTTTTTTAATTTTGGAGATCAGCCGTCTGTCAGATGTGGGGTTTGTGAATATCTTTGCCCATTCTGTGGGCTGTCATTTTGTCTTGTTTACTGTGTCCTTTGCTCTGTGGGGTTAGTGAATATTTTTCCTATTCTGTGGGCTGCTTTTTTGTCTTGCTGACTGTGTCCTTTGCCTTACAGAAGCTTCTCAGTTTCAGGAGGCCCCATTTATTAATTGTTGACCCCACTGTCTGTGCTACTGGTGTTATGTTCAGGAAGCTGTCTCCTGTACCAATTTGTTCAAGGGTACCACCCACTTTCTCCCCTAAGAGGTTCAGTGTGGTTGGATTTATGTTGAGGTCTTTGATCCATTTGGACTAAAGTTTTGTTCATGATGATAGACATGGATCTATGCACATTTTCTACATGCTAGCAGCCAGTTATGCCAGCACCATTTGTTGAAGATGCTTTGTTTTTTCCATT